GCACGTGGATAGGCATGGGGACAGGCATGGGGATAGGCATGTGGATAGGCATGGGGATAGGCATGGGGATAGGCATGTGGATAGGCATGCGGACAGACATGGGGATAGGCATGTGGATAGGCATGTGGATAGGCATGGGGATAGGCATGGGGATAGGCATGTGGATAGGCATGGGGACAGACATGGGGATAGGCATGGGGATAGGCATGGGGGATGAGGCATGAGAGTGAGAGTGCTGTGGGTTTAAGCCCTGGGTTTGCGGCCGTGGGTTTAGGGCCGTGGGTTTAGGGCCGTGGGTTTAGGGCCGTGGGTTTAGGGCCGTGGGTTTGCGGCCGTGGGTTCAGGGCCATGGGTTCAGGGCCGTGGGTTCAGGGCCATGGGTTCAGGGCCATGGGTTCAGGGCCATGGGTTCAGGGCCATGGGTTCAGGGCCATGGGTTCAGGGCCATGGGTTCAGGGCCATGGGTTCAGGGCCATGGGTTCAGGGCCATGGGTTCAGGGCCATGGGTTCAGGGCCATGGGTTCAGGGCCATGGGTTCAGGGCCATGGGTTCAGGGCCATGGGTTCAGGGCCATGGGTTCAGGGCCATGGGTTCAGGGCCATGGGTTCAGGGCCATGGGTTCAGGGCCATGGGTTCAGGGCCGTGAATCTAGGGTCGAGGGTTTAGAGTCGTTGGTTTAGGGTGTGGACTATGGGCGCTGTGAGCAGACTCAAACTGCTTACTCTTGGGCTCTTCGTGTCATTCCCACCCTCCCTTCCCCCACAACACACCTGGCCCTCACATATGAGCCAGGGGACGTGCCGGAGAGGCGAGGGCATGAGCGACACACCAACGAGACTGCCTGACCTCTCCCCCTTGATCCCTCCCCACTTACCTAATTCCCACTCCTCTTCCCCCATTCCTTCCTCCCCCACGCACCTGGCCCTCGCGTATGAGCCAGGGAACGTCCCGTAGAGGCGAGGGCATGAGCGGCAGGGCGACGAGGAAGAGCGGGAGAAGCTCGATCATGAAGTGGTAGAAGTTGGCTGCGGGCACCGTCGCCCAGTTGAACGCCGCTCCTGAGAGGTGCTGCACCCTGTGCTCCGGACTGTAGTTGGCCTTCCAGGTGGAGGGGAACAGCAGGGGAGAACAAGGAGGAGATGTTTGGGGCAGTGGATTGAATTGAAGTAGGCGGGTGAAAGGAACTTCCCATCCCTTCTCTGCCCTCACCCTCTCCTCCCCTCTCCCCTTGCTCCCTGTTCTGTTCCATTCCCCACCCCTCCCACTCCCCCTCCCACTCCCCCTCCCACTCCCCCTCCCACTCCCCCTCCCCCACGCCCCTCACCTTGCGCCACCAGCGGCGGCACCCGTTCTTCACAAGCACGTGCGAGCGGTTCACCACAAGCCCATCGAACGTCACATACACGCCCTCCACCCGGAACAGCTGCAGAGCTGACGCCTCGTGCGGGGTGAAGTCCTGCCTGTGCGAGCACGTCTCGTTGTAATCCGTCAATCCCCTCGCCTTCCCTCCCCTGGCCGCTGCTGCTCCCTTGGGTCGACTCTTGAGGGGGCAGTTGACTGGCGGGGGTATATCCTTTTCTGCCTCATCCACCAGGTGTTCGTTCCAGCACGCCTGAATATTTGGGAATTCACCTGAGCAGGGTCCGAATGAGGGACAGGGGGGTCCGTGGCAGGCCAGCTTCACAAGAGAGCTTGCATCGTCGGAGGCACCTGAGGGGCCACCTGAGGGACCACCTGAGGCGCCGCCATGCCTGGCCAGGTGCCTGAACGGGTCGAAGGATTTGGGGTTTGGCGCTTGCAAGCGGTCATAATAACCCATCATGATGTTGGGCAGTAGGGCCGTGTCCAGGGGGGATCCCAGGGGGCGGATGGGCAACCCTGCACGCTCGGGATGAGACCTGCAGGGGATGGAATGGTGATGGGGATGGGGATGGGGATGGGGATGGGGATGGGGATGGGGATGGGGATGGGGGTGGGAATGGGGATGGGGATGGGGATGGGGATGGGGATGGGGATGGGGGTGGGGATAGGGATGGGGATGGGGACGGGGATGGGGATGGGGATAGGGATAGGGATGGGGATGGGGATGGGGATGGGGACCGGGATGGGGATAGGGATGGGGACGGGGACGGGGACGGGGATGGGGATGGGGATGGGGATGGGGATGGGGATGGGAATGGAGGGAGCGAGCGAGGGAGGGAGGGAGGGAGGGAGGGAGGGAGGGAGGGAGGGAGGGAGGGAGGGAGGGAGAGAGGGAGGGAGGGAGGGAGGGAGGGAAGGAGGGAGGGCGAGCAGCATGTGGAACTGACCCACGTGGCATGTGGGACTGGCCTACGTGGCGTGTGCACGGACCTGAATTTGTCTTTCACGTGATATCCCAGCTCGCCTTCAAACTCCTCCACCCTGCCCACCAGATTCCGCTGCTCCGCCTGCTGCCTCCTGGCGCCTGGTGCGACCAGGGAGGGGGGGACGGCGGGTGCGTGGAAAGGGGGGAAGAAATGGGAGCATCGAGGGGGAAATGGGGGGAATGGGCGGGATGAGAGGGGAGGGGGTGGGGGGGAATGTGGGAAACGGGGAGCATAAGATCACACAATCTGAGGGGTTTGCAGTGGCGGATGCGAGTAGGTGAGGCGAGGAGCGAAGCAGTGGTAGAGGTATCTTGGGAGTGGTTATGGGAAGGAGGGGGAGTGGAGGTGAGGAGGAGTGAATGGAGAGGGAGACGGAAGAGAGAGAGGGGCGTTAATGACTAACACGCTAGTGACCGTGACCTAGAATTCGACAAGCTGAGCCGTTCAACATTCCAGGAGCGACATTCCATAAAAGCCTGGACCAATGCAGGTGGGATCGAGTAAAAACTTATGCAGTAACGGGTCAGTAACGCTGGCAGCATATCTCCGCTATTGTTGATTGGCAGAGCCTTTGCCATTGTGCTGACAAAACCAGCTCTGTTGAATATTCGGCACTCCAGTCCTCTCTGCCTGTCGCCTCCCTGCTAAACCACACTGGCAATCCTGGTGCTCCTTTCCCAACAGTCGTCATTCTTTTCACCAAGCTCTCCGCGTGATTGCGTTGCGTCACTTTCGACTTCTTAAAAGTTCTTGCAGACGAAAGCTAACAACTTGCAGTGCGCTCGACCGGATAGTTCAATTCGAATCGACCCTTATTCTGCGACGCGTCTCAGCACCCGATCCGTTGCTTCCGTACTTGGCTGGTCGCTGGCGATCGACGCGGTGACGACGAGAAACGTCAAGGAGGTAGACGCAGCAAGCAGCAGCAGCTGCCTTCCGTCAACCGCGCCACGACCGTGACTCTCCATGGCATCGAGTCAAGCCCGTGTTAGGAGAGCTGGAAAACAGGCGCTTCGGTGGTAAAACAACTCTGAAAAAGGCACAACGGCCCCGTTCGCCACGCCCAACAATCCCCTCGTTCCCCTTTTCTGATCCCGTCACGAAATTCCCATGTGAGGGGGAGCCTCTGGACGTAACTAGTAGCGCCTTCGTCCGACGTTTCATGATCCACTCGGCCATCCCACCCATGCCCCTCCCTTTCAAGGGGTCTTGGTGAACGGGGCCAATGGGTTGAAACAAAACGACAGCCACACGATGGGTTATAAAACCACCTGACCTGACCCCCTTGGTTAGGACGCGTCCCCTCCGGCTCGAACGTGCAAAAACCGATCTTTGACCGCACCAAAAACCCGTGTAATGCATTCAAAACTTCTAGACGGTTTTTGAACCACGTGAAAAATCGACCTACGTAGGATCGATCGCAGGATTGGCCTTCAGGTGCGCGTCTTAGGTTACGTATTTAAAGGTGTTCAAAGTAGTGCACCCGCTCGACGTCGAGTTCGTCGGTGAATTTCGACCGTCGGATAAACGATTCCAACCGTCAGTATTCACCGATGTCCCTCGACGTCGAGATTTTGCAGCACTTTGTACACGCCTTAGGTGCCCTTGGGAACACCGACGGCGACTGACAGTGTACTGCCAGGCCAACTGTTACTCAGGTCGGCTTGTCGATTGGTCTGGGGCAGGGCTGTCACTGCAAGGAAAAATGACTCTTGATTCTCGAAGGATCGACTGGACTTGGGAGCGAAACGGTGCGGCAAAAGCCCGTGGGGGACTCAGTACAGTACAGTATCCTGTCCAGTAGGAAATGGCAACCATTGCGTGAACGAAAACATCCCCCAAAAAATGTGCTACATATGCAAGATAAAATAACCATGTACATTATCTGGAGTTCAGTGATGAAAGTTGTATGCTGTACATTTTAGATTATAATTATGTACTCATTGATGTACCCTAAACCATCAACACTTTCTGTATGAAATCAAGCACGATATGAAACAAAGCGCGATGCATTTACAAGTTGATGTAAGAAAAAAGGGCTAAATAATCCAACACATTTCCGTGGTCAAAGTCAAGTAGCAGCATAGGGGAATGTGCAACATGACTTTTGCGATGGGCTCTCATAGCTGGAGTTGCGGGACGAGAACCACTGCTGCTGAGGTAGCAACACACACCTACCAGAAAGCCATAATGTTATATCTCCCATGCCTATCCAATAGCTACGTACCACCACTACTGCGACCACTGCCACCATTCTCATTTCATCACGTCCCCCCATGTCCCCGTTGTCTCTTCAGTCTCCCTTCCTTCAACACAATCATCTCCATCACTGCATGCCATCGCAAGTGCCATCGCGATTGCCACCGCTATTACCACCGTTATTGCCATTGCTATTGCCCATCTCCCTCCTCCCCATTTCCCACTTTATTCCCCTCTTGACACCCATCTCCACGCTATCCCCACCCTCTTCATTAAGCCCATCCCCCATTCCCCCCTCCACTCTCCCCCTCCAAGGTCAACTTTGAAGTCAGAGGTGCCCCAGCCCCAGTTGCTCCATTCAGTTTGCGGTTGCCCCGCTACATACTGCACTGCCGTCCACGCGTTGTCCTCCTCGTCCATCCCTGCCGCCCTTCTACTCCTCCCAACACTCTGCTAACTCCCAACATGACCCCCATCCCCCCCGTTGTCCCCATTTCCGCCGTCATCCCCATTTCCTCCGTCCCCATTCCCCCCATTTCCCCCATCCCCCCCATTTCCCCCATCCCCGCCGTTCCCCCCTTCCTCCCCCCCATTCAGATCCACTTTGAACACGTAGGTAGCCCAGTTGCTCCACTCACTCCTGGGCTCACCAGCCACATACTGCACTGCCGCCCACGCGTTGCCCTCCTCATCCACCGTTGCCGCCATGTAGTCACCGTACCGATGCTCCGTTGCGCCCTCGCGGTAGCCTGGAGGGGGGAGATCGAGAGAGGGGCGCAGGTGTGTGTGGGAGGAGAGGGTGAGGGTGGCCCTTGGTCCAACTCGGTCGTTTGCCCCCTCGTCCACAGCTGCCGCCATATAGTCGCCGAACCGATGCTACCCTCCCCTGACCTCTCTCCCCCCCCCCTGACCTCTCTCTCCTCCCCCTGACCTCTCTCTCCCAGTATCCTGGTGAGGAGAAAGGTGCGTGGCATGTGGGGCATGTGGGGCATGTGGGGCAGTCCCAAGTAAACCCTTGTAGTCATCGAGAGGAGCCTTTCCCACGCCAGCAACAACCACACGGTGAATTATGAGTCAACTCAAACATCTCCAAGCAGAGGACGAAGCAGCAGACTCACCCTTGTAGTCGTCGAGAGGAGCCTTTCCCGGGCCAGCAACAACCACGCGGCCGATATCCACATTGGCGTTGAGAGTGGCATAGGCAGCTGAGGGGTAGAACGAACGCCCTGCCAGCGACGCTGCTATGATGCCCACGCCGTGCCTGGGGAGGTGCGTGAAGGGGTGGCAAAGGGTGAGAGAGGTGAAGAGAGATGGGGGGTTTAGGATGACGTGCAGAGCAGATTTGACTCTTTTCTCGCCGACAGAAGGAAGTGCAGGGGGATGATGCTATGTTGCTTTGTGAGTGCATTTTGAACACCCACTAACACCCACTAACACCCACTTATGAAGGAAAGAGTGTTATGTTACCAACATCCTCATCCTGAGAAAAATGTTGATCTCCCCTCTCAATCACTCCTTCCACCTCTCCTCCCCCCTCCTCTTGGCCCTCCATCCCCATCTCTCCCACCTATTGAGAGCAATGGTCGGCTGAATGAGGCTGTTCCCCCCTCCCACCCCCACCGCTTTGAACCGCTCCAGAAACACCCGAAACGGCCGCCACTTGCGCTGGGGCCTGAGGGACAAGCGGAGCCTCACGACCGCAGCAGAAGCACTCATGTCCTTGCCAAAAGCGGACATAAAACCCAACCACATCTGCCTCTTCCCAGGAAACACCACCACTCCTCTCGCATCTGTAAACGAAGGGCCGATGGGTTTGATTGTTTGGTTCATCTTCCAAGCAAGAGGAACTGGCCCAGGTTTCTGCTCCACAGGAAACGGATTAAAGAACGGGGGAGTGTTGACAGCAGCACAGTGCGGCTCAACCAAACTCTCAGCTTCAGGGGTTCCCAGGGCGCTTGTCCCCGTTATAGCAAAGGCTCCAACTGTGCTATAGTTGGCGACGAGCACGGTTTCGTTTGGAGCGCCAGGGTTGGGGTTAACTCCCGTCCATCCAAAGTACATGGTGCCACCATGGCTGTAATCATAGTCCCCATCAGCAGCGACCTTCTGAGGGTAGATTGTGTAGGCTGGATTGCTGAGGGTCTCTGTGTAAGGTACGGCGAGGCGGAGAATGGTGGCGTTTTCAGGCGTTTGGAGCTGGGACTTGGAAATTGCACTGGCAGGGGAGAGGAGAGGGGGAGGGAAGGTGCAGGAAGGGGGTGAGGGAGGAGCAGGAACGGGAGAAGAAGGAGAAGATGAGGGGCAAGTTCCCACCATGGCCGAATGGATGAGTCCCCACATGGTGAGGTGCATGTGTGCGTGCATGAGTCAGGCATGGATGGAACTTGGTTGGAAGTGTTACGACGATAGTAGGCATAAGCAATGAATTATATTTCTTGCAAGAAGGGGGCCGACAATGAATTTCTCCCTTGCAAATACCTGTTGTATGTAAGGTTTCCCTGATAGAAAATACACTCACTATATGCCCGCCCCGTAATATTGGTCAAATGTCTCCGAAAAATGGTTTATTGATGCGTAAAATCCTGGTGAGGAGGAAAGAGGGGTGCAGGCCGTGGGGGAAGTCCATGCAAGAGATCAAGAGAGAGAGAGAGAGCATCACACACCTCGCGGCTAAAACAGTGCTTACCTTGACCGCGGGCGCCGCTCGAGAGTTTCTCCTTCCACACCAGTTCGGCGTGGCGGTTCCTGGAGGGGCAGAGGGGATTATTCACATCACACACATACCTCACGGCGAACCCAGGAGTCTTGGTCCTGCAGGCCGACCTCGCGAACGCGTTCAACAGCGTTAATCAGGCGGCCATCGCTGCATCTCTTCGCGGATCCACGCTAGCTTCACTCCTGCCGCTAGTAAAGCTGTCATACGGCCTCCCCTCGGCTTTATGCCTGGACTCCGGCTTTTCACACCCACCACTTCGGAGCGAAACCGGGGTGCGGCAAGGAGATCCCCTCGGTCCGCTGCTGTTTGCCGCTGCTATACACCCTGCGCTGACGAGCACGGCGCTCGCTTTCCCGTCCGTGGTCTGCTTGGCGTATGCGGACGACGTTACCTTTCTTGGGGAAGCGGCTATGTGTGCAGCGGCGTTCGAGTATTTCACAGAAAGTCTCAGATGGGGGATTGGGCTGAGCCATAACCCAGCCAAATGCGCGGCATGGTCCCAGATGGGCCGGCAGGGAGCAGCACTACCACAAGGCGTACCCTTCACCGACGATGGGGTGAAGTTGCTTGGCAGTTTCATCGGTGGCAACGACGCCACAGCCGCGTTCTTACGCGAGAGCCTTGACACAATGGGCGGCCCACTGCCCTTAATCGCTCGGATGGAGCCGCAGCTGGCATCCCTACTGCTTACCCGGTGCATATCACGGCGGGTCTCCTACGTGGCACGTACCACACCACTCTCTACCCTGCCAGTTGATGAATGGTCAGACTGGGGTAAAAAGCTGTTTGAGACACTGCTGACGGCTTGCGGCATCCGTCACCCACGGGGGGAGGCCGAGATCACACGCACCTGGGCCCAAGCATCGCTCCCGATCTCGCTTGGAGGCTTGGGTCTTGCGGACCCCTCGGTGGAAGGGCGTGTTGGGTTCCTCGCAAGCTACACGCAAGCACAGCACCTGCTCACCTCCATCGACGAGTCAGCAGTTGGCGCCTTGGCGGAAACAAGGGTCCAGATGGTTGGACCCTTCCTCAACACGTCCCCCCTTTTTGACTGGCTAGAGAGGTGCGAGGATTCGCTGCCAGACGACGGGAAGGAGCTGCTACAGAGCGACCGCACTGATCCCAAGGGCGTCAAGCTGCAGCATGGGCTGGCTATTTCGATGCACGGACGGCGCTACGCTGAGCAATTGCAAGCCACACGCATCATGCCGCTAAATCCCCTTAGCGGCCACACGCAGCGCATGCTCTCGCTCTCGGGGTACGGGGCGGGGGACTGGCTCAACGACTGCATTCTGCCCCGTCACCAGGAAGAAGGCTGACATAGCGATCCGGGACAAGTCTTCAGGGGCTGTTTGGATAGGGGATGTGACCATCAGTCCGTGGCGCTGCAGCGGGCTCAGTCCGTGAGCTTCATGACGAAGTGTAACTTCGCGGCTCAGGTGGAAAACCCACCTGTGGGGATGCCGGGCGAAGGCATGTCCCTTGGGGACTGCCTTGCCATCTTGGAGCCGGCACTGGAGCTCCCTTAGATGGAGCACGGGTGTGAGTAGGATATGGGGGGGTTTAGAAGCTGAAATGCATGCTTTCTATATCCTTGTGCATGTCTGTGCTTGCTTGGATCTAATACACGGACCGCTTGAGAGCAAAGATAGCTTCAGCAGGGGAACCAAGACCAAGATGAGACGATTTTTGAGTCGACTGAAAAATCGTCTCATCACATCACACGCAGATAGTTTCAACAGGGGACCCAAGATCACGATCTGCAACCTTTGATTGGCTGCAAAGGAACCATGTAAGAGCTTGAGGTAGAACTGGTTAATGAAATCATAAATGGAAACATCCCAGATTTTTTATAGATTCCACACTGAAGTGGAATCGGTGGAAACATAAATGGGGGCAATCCTAGATAGGCAGTTTTTGAGAAGTCTCAAAAGGTTTAACAGACATACCATAGGCATCTGTGCCGATCTGGGGGTAGTCCACTGAGAGGGGAGAAGAGCAAAAGGGAGGGATGGGGAGAAGGGCAAAATGGGAGCCGCTTTTGAGACGTTTTAGAGGTTAACGCTCACGTACCATAGGCATCGGTGCCAATTTGAGGGTAGTCCACTGATGGGGGAGGAAAACAAAAGGGAGGTAGGGGGAGAAGGGCACGATGGGAGAGGGGTGGGGGGGCAAGAGTGACAGCACGTGGGTAACAACCGAAGGCCGCAAAGTGACAGGATTAGGATGAGACAGCATGTTATTTCTGGAGGTAAGGGCAACAGATGAATAAGTAGGCCAATTGCGCAGCAGGAATGAGAAAGACGCGGAAGAGGATTGTTGACTTGCATAACGCATGAATACAAAACGGCTTGGCGGTACAGATTGTGTGTTTTCGTTACACGCCATACTTATTACATGTATATACATATATACAGTTATCACATGTATATACACAAATATATAGTTTTATACATGTAAACATCCAATGCATGTCAAGATTTGCATACTCATACTGTCATGATACTCCTTAGCTTGTACGCACCCATCACCCAACCCAACCATCATCTGCTCCACACCACACTGTCCCATGTGTCATCATCCGTGCCATCACCCACACCCACCATCACACGCACCCAAGCCATCACCCATACCATCACACACACCATTGTATGCGCTACCATTGAACGTACGAAAAGTGGTGAGTCGAGACGTGTTGTAGTGAAGGGGGGCCCTCCAGTCCGGATTGGAATTGATACCATCGTTGCTGGGAGAGGGTAGAGGGAAGGGGGGGGGGGGGAAGAAGGGGGTTGAGGGAGGCCGCATTGGAGTTGATGCCGTCATTGCTGGGAGGAGGGGGATAAGGAGAGGGAGGAAATAGTGGGAAGGAGGAGGGTGGGATGTTGGGGAGCAAGGAGAGCAGGACAGAGCACAGAATCTAACCAGTGTGAGATGGGGCTGCTGTAGCAGGAAGACACATGCTGAGAGCAGAGGAAAAAGGTGAGAACTGGTAAGGAGAAGCGAGAAAAGGGTGAGAAGCAGTGACAATCGGCGAGACTAGAAGAAAGGTGAGGAAGCGAGAGAAAAAGGAGGCGAGAGCGTACGAGCCAGGAATGAAGAAGACATTCCATGGCTGCGTGGGGTCGTCTGTGGTTGATGCCGCCACTATCAGCCCTCCCCCCACTGTGATGTTGCCTCGCCGCCTCGTCTGCCCAAACTTGTCATACGTGTTGTTGGATTTTCCAGACTGCACGTTGGGAGGTATGGGAATGGGGCGGAGGGAGGGTGTAGAGAGAGTGTGTAATGGGACGGACAGATACGACAGCAAGAGAAACGAGTGAGTGGAAACAGGGCGAGGAGGCAAGAGGGAGGAAAACGAGGTGGAGGAAAAATGAGAGGTGGAAATATGAGAGGAAACGAGGGAGAGGAAAATGGGTGGTAGACAAGAGGGAAGAAAACGAAAAGGGTGAAAGAATAGACGACGGGAGGAAGGAAAACGAGAGGGCAAAAGGAGGGGGATAGCGGCATTCCAAACCGATGGGTTGGCAGGCTCCGCCCAGTAGGTGGGGGAGAGAGAAGCGTCTTTTAGAGGCGCTTAAAAAGTCATTGGCTCGGCGCAGGCTCGGCACTCACAGACCAATAGGTGGAGAGGTATGGCCCGGAGGTCATATGTGCATGTCATGTCCGTCACCAGTACCGTCTCTGAATTCTGCTGATGTGCTGGCTTCATCCAGCACCCAACAGCACCCAACAGCACCCAGCAACACCCAGCAGCACCGCACTCTCTAGTGCATCCCCACCCCGACTCACAGCCCAGTAGGTGGAGAGGTAGAAGCGCTTGGCCTGGCGGTCATATGTGCATGTCATGTCACCAATATCGTCTCCGAATACTGATGTGTTGAACGGGTCCCTCTTCTCCACCACCCATGGCAGCATGCCAAAGAACTGCAATGAGGGGAGGATTGTGAAAGGCGGGCGGGAGGCAGGAGGGTGACATTTGAGTCGACTCAAGAGAATACTGATGTGCTGATCGGGTCCCTCTTCTCCACCACAGCATATGCCAACAAACTGCGATGAGGCTTGGGGAAGCAGGACGGTTGGTGGGATGGTGCTGGTTTGTACGACGACCATCGATGGGGACCACAAGTGGCAGCACACTAAGAAAGCGAGACGAAGGTGTGGAGGGAGGTGCGGGAGCGGGGCGGAGAGAGAGGCAGAGCGATCATGATTGCATTGCGTGAGCACTTGCCTCGTTGGTTGTGATGATGCGAGTGAGCTGCTTCCCCTGCTTGTCGTACACAGCCATCGCTGCCACGCAGGAGAAGCGGAGGGAAGGGGGGGCGAGAGGGAGTGGTTAGGGGAGGTGAAAATGGGTAAAAAAAGATTATGCGAGTGAGCTGCTTCCCCTGCTTGTCGTACACAGCCATCGCTGCCCAGCGGGAGAAGAGGAGGGAAGGGGGGCCGAGAGAGAGAGAGGGTGGGGGAGGCGAAAATGGTCAAAAGGAATCGAGTGAGAAGAGGGAGGAGATGCGAGTGAGCTGCTTCCCCTGCTTGGCGTACACAACCATCGCTGCGACGCGGGAGAAGCGGAGGGGTGGAGGAGCGGGTTGGACGGTAGAGAAAGTGCTAGAAAGGAATGGAGTGAGAAGAGGGAGGGAATAGCAGTTAATGAGAGAGAGGAGGAAGCAAGCACGAGGAAGGCCGCTTACCAATATTGACAGTGTGAAGGACGTAGCCATTGCCCACACATAGAGCGACATCAGGAGGGGAGACACGGTTCTGAAAAGCAACAAAGGCACCGTTAGTGCAAGGAAGGCTGTGCACATTCACTGGATTTGCTGTAGCAGTGTACCACTGTGAAATAAACAAATCTGGTCAGGGCTTCGGGTCAAAACTGTACCCTCAACCCTAACCTGTTAAAAAAAAAAAAGCAACAACATAAAACAAACAACAACGAAAACAAAAGCAAGAAACGTACCACTGTATCATTGTATTTAGGTGGTGTACCACTGTTCACTAAGGTGTAATGGCTTATACCGGGGAACCCAACCGCCGGTTTCCGCTTCACCACTTGTTTCAGCTCCGTCGAGCGCGCCGAAAATTCCCCCACCTCCGCCAATCGCTGTTCCTGTTTTGCGGAAAGCGGGAAGAAAGAAAACCTTGGGAACCTTTCAGCGATTGCGGGAAACGTGTGGCTCGATGAGCATAGCGCAACACATCAGTGCCCGGGTAGTACTTGGCATGAGCCTTGGAAAACCTTTTTAACTTTGACCGCTGTACTGGGTGTCGCGCAAGGCCTACGCGGGGGGGAGCGCAACGGGCCCGGGGAGTGAACCGCGGCACACAGACTCAGACGCGAGCCTACCATCTGTTGCTCGAGCGGATCCACAGCGGGAGCCGGCGCGCTCGCAGGCGCAGCGGCGGGCGCAGATGCAGCGGCGGCCGCCTCCGAGGCGGAGATTGCTGCTCCCGCCAGAGCCTCGCGCGTCTTCTCATTGAGTCCGCCGCCGCGAATCCGCGCAAGCAGCTCCTCCTTCAACGATTCCGAGTCGGGCGAGTCAGATGCGCGATAATCGACGGCGTTGGTGCCGTGGTTTCCGCTGCTGTTACTATCTCCGCCGCTGTTCCCGGCACCGGCGCCGGTAGAGGAGGCGCCACCGTCAGCAGCGCCTTCAAACGGCGGCAGCTGCGCGGTTCCGGCGAACCAGAGGTTCTCCGGCAGCTTAAACACCTCCACGCGGTCTTTCGATCCGCGCATCGGCGCGGTCACGACGCGCGTCGCCGCATTCGTTCCGCGTGGCGGAGCTAGCAGCAGTAGAAGCGCGAGCAGCAAGGCGGCGTGGAGGTAGCAGCAGATGCGCAGGGAGGCCTGTGGAGGAGCCATTGCGCCGGGAGCAGATTGTGCACCCGTACTATGTTGGTGTTGCTTTTGAGAATTCTCAAAAGCGTACTATTGTGACAGGAACTCACTTCAAGTGAGCACACCAGAGGTTGTGCTCTTGATAGGCAGTTTGGCACTGGCCTACTGGGGCTGTTCAGGAATCAGAATCGCAAGCGGCAACCAAGGCGCTCACAAATGAAGAGTACTGTACTGTAGTACTGTAACCTGCTTTCCATACGAGGAACTCACGTGTGACCCTGGGCTGCAGTTCCCGAGAAAAGCATTGACTTCCAGAAATAGTGTGTTAGGGACTTACAATGGCCGAAATTCAAGTGACACAGGGAAACCCCCTCGGGGATCCTAGACTCTGCAATTGTTTTCCCTCCTGGCAATTCCATCTGTTTTCCCACCTGCTTTTACGTGGTGGCTAAGCTGACCGGAAACGAGAGTTCAAACCAGGGCCCGGCATCCATGAGCTGCAAGATGCTCAAACAGGAACGACATGGGCAAGCGCTCGGCTTGAGGTTGGGAAAGGGTTCGCTTGGAACGGAAGGGCTGCTCCTCGTGCCGCCATGCGCCGCCGCCTTGCGGCTCCACCATGAGTCCTGAGGATGATAAGTTCAACCCAAGTGTTTTCAGAGATGCTAGACTCGATACCATCTTCGTGAAGCGAGATCGCCATCTGCACATTATTCTCTCACAGCATTGATATGATAGTAACCCACTATCCATTTTGGATTTTAACGGATCCTGTTTTTCTCCAACATCAGTTCTGAGTTAATGTTTCCAAACCAACTCATTGTACATTAGCTAAATATACTCATCCCACTATAAAATTAGAAGCTCTCTGCCACGGAAGAGTCAAGATCCATTTTGAACCCTCGTCTGGGCAAAATCTCGCAGCGCTGCCTTGAACGCCGTATTTGCTAAATAAAGGAGAGAAAAAATACAAAATCTCCTCATTCATTGACCATTGCAGCGACTCCACGGACGCATCTGCCTTGTCGCACGCTAGCATATTTTCAGGGGGCGTATACGGAGAGCGGTTGGCATGGGCTGGCGGCGGGCTGGCAGCACACGGCTAGCTACTAGTGGTGGCGGCTTGCGTGCATGGTTGCTAGGTGGGCTTGCCGTTGCAGTAGTGGCGGCAGCGTATGCGATGGCGTGAGTGGGAGCAGCGGCAGGAACAGAAGTAGTGGCGGCGCACGCAACGGCGACGACAGCAAAGGGCGCGCTCCAGCGGCAGTGGCGTGAGCAGCGGCGGCGGCAGGCGCGGCTAACTGTGGGCGGCAGCGTGGCGGCAACAGTCTCTGGTGCGGCGGAGCAGGCGCGGGTGCAGTCGTCGCAGGCGCGAGCTCAAGCGCAGATACGTAATGCGGGGGCACAGCAGGCGATCGCGCCAGCGTGATGGCAAGCGCGGGTGGGTCAACGAGGCCTAGGGCCGGGCGCAAGGGCTGGGTGCAACGGGGCCTATGGTGGGGCGCGATGAGGTCATTAGGTGGAGCGCATGCGGTCGCGCTAGGGGCCGCGCTAGGGGCGCTAAGAGGGGCGCGCTTGGGCACACTAAAGGAGGCCGCGCTAAATGCGCACTAGGGGGCACGAAGGGGCGCTCTGTTAGGCTGAAAAAACCCTTTAGGATCTTTGCAGGGGTGAACTCTGGGTAGAGTTGGTGTAGTAGCGGAAGCGTTAATTAAAGAGTTGTGAACCACCTTGCACTAGTATGTGAGGGCAAAGTAAGTTGATGATAATAAAAGAGATACAAGCTTTTATAAGAATACAAAGGAATATGAAGAGATACAGTTAACTGTTTTACTGTTGCTGTTGCGGTTCGATACAGTGTCGACTCGGGCAACTGCTCAGTATCGAGACAGTTGGTTGTCCTTGCTGTCGCGCTGCATTTGTCAGGTCAAAGGTCGCTGACCTTTGACTTTCGCGTAACCTCCAACAGTTATTCAACCTCCGAGGGTTGACTCACCGATATTTCGATACGAGCTACTTCGCTTCTGTCTTGGTGTTTCGACACGACAGAGGCGCCTAAATCAGTTGTTTCCAACACTCCCCTTCGCTTCTGGAGTGTCGCTGACGTGGCTCTGTCCAGTCAGCAACATGCAGTATTCGAACTTCTGCTTTCCGAGCTTCTTGGTCAGGTAGTCAGCTGCCATCTCAGACGTGGGACAGTATGACAGCTCGAGCCTTCCCTTCTCGATCTCATCCTTCACGAAGAAATATCGCAGGGCGATGTGTTTCGTCCTGTTTGCGAAGCCGTTCTTGTTGGCGATGCGAATTGCTGACTGGTTGTCGCAGAACAGGGTAAAGTTGGGTAACTCGGCTAACTTCGCTTCTTCCAGCAGCTCGCGAAGATAGAGTCCTTCCTTGGTGGCTGAGCAGAGTGCAATATATTCTGCTTCAGCTGACGAGAGGGCAATTAATTCCTGCTTGCTCGACTGCCAAGAGATAGGTCCGATAGGTTCGAGGCGGTAGATGTAGCCGGTGCGGGAGCGCCTATTGTCGGAGTCGCCAGCGTGATCAGCGTCGACGTAGCCGATTAACTTAGTCGGTGTGGTTGCGTTTTTGTAGTAAGTTAGGCCGATCGTTGGGGTGCTGACGAAGTAGTGAAGAGCGTGAGAAAAGTAGAACGAGAATGAATGAACTATGAATGAAGTGAGTACATATGGGAAACCCTAATTGGGTTGTACCCCCTATGGGATACCCCACTATAGCCTACACAACAGCATAAGCTATATATATGTTCTGACACACCCCCATAGGCAAAGTGGGGGAGAACAAGGGGTCACAAGACCAGTCAAGCAAAGCAGAGCAAGCTCAGGGTGGATCACAAAGTCACCACACAGTCCGAGCACAACGACAGGGCAACAGGGCCAGTTCACATGCAGGAGTACACATATATATATAGAGCTAGACAAGCAAGAGCAGGAATATATATGTGACAGTACAAGCAAGGTCAAGAAGAGAGCAAGTGAGGCAAGACAGGTACAAGACCCAGCTGGGTGCAGAAGCGCTGATGGTCACAAGGCGCAAGTGCCTTGGTGAACACATCAGCAGTGTTGGCCTCAGAGGCCACGTACGCAAGTCGCAACTGACCACGCTGCTGCAGCTCACGAGCAAGAAAGTAACGGAGAGCAATGTGCTTCGTTCTGTGCTCCAAGCGCTGCTCTCGACACAAGGCCAGCACCCCCAGGCCCAGCACCCCCAGCAGCACCAGAGTCACCAGTGACCTCGACAGGCTCGACTGCGTCTACCTGGGACACACCTGAAGGGGCAGGACCCTGAGGGGGGAGGGGGTCTACCGGGGGGGGACCTGGTACAAGGAAGTGCGGTGGCGGGGGGAGGGAAGGAGTGCGGTAGGGGAAGAGGCGGTAGAAGGGGACTGACTCGTCGAACGTGACGTCCTGGGAGGACAGAACACGACGAGAGGAGGGGTGGTAGAACTGCCACCCTGGAGCGTCAGGGGGGAAGCCGAGGAAGACACAGGGAGCAGCACGAGGGGACAGCTTGTCCGCAGACAAGTCGCGGACAAACGCCCGAGATCCCCAGACACGGAACGCAGACGCATCGCCGACCTTCCCCGTCCACAGCAGAGCTGGGGAGGTCTCCGGCCGGGAGACCCTGGGGTGAAGGTTGATCTGATGCGCCGCGTACCGAACCGCAAACGGCCACAGAAAATGGGGGGCAGCCGCATGCATCATGGACGTACGAGCGACGTCCATGACCATGCCAATGCGGCGCTCAGCAATCCCATTTTGCTGTGGAGAGTCCGGAAGCGTAAAGGTCTGGCGGATGCCTCGTGCACGACAGTAGGCTCGCAGAAGGCCAGAGGAGAACTCTCCACCTCGGTCAGAGTGCAGACGCAGAACAGGAAAGTCCGAGCCGAAGCTCCCCCTGAGCTGGAGACGAGCTGCGCGGATCCAGTCGATCAACACCGCAGTGACATCACCCTTGCTGCGCAAGGGGAAGACTGTGGTGTAACGCGAGTAATCGTCAACCACCAGCAGGAAGTAGCGCTCGTGACCCTGCCCACGGACGCGGGCGGGGCCCCACACGTCCATGTGAAGCGTCTGCAGAGGAGCCTCTGTCGGGGGAAACTGAGAGGAGTGAGGGGCAGCCCGAAGCCGCCCCTCGACACAGGGGACACAAGAAGGTCCGGGTCCCGAAGGGAGGGGAGGGAGAGACCGGGGAAGACCAGAGACAAGGACACGGGAAGCCATGCCCCGAAGACGAAGCAAGGAGGGGTGGCCAAGGCGGTGGTGCCACAGGAGAGTCTCGTGAGACAGGCGGCGACACGAGCAGGGGGCAGACTCAGGACCAGACCTGGACGCAGCAGCAAACACCTGACCCGACGCAGCTACCTGGCCAGACGCAGGGACAGGAGGAGACGCAGTGGTCAGTGTGTAGAGACTCGACCCTGGCCGACGCGAGAACGTGGCCAGGTGTCGGCCTGTGCGGGCATCCGAGCAGTGGGTCACCCGCTGACTCGCAGGAGTAAACTGGTGAACCCCCGCATCCTGCAAGTCAGCACCACTCACCAAGTTCGTCGAGAACGAGGGGAGGTACAGACCAGACAAGGTGCCCGAGGGGGCAGCCGGACACGGGAGGACAGTGGAGAAGTGAGAGAGGACAGGACCCCCAGAGGGGTCAGCCAGGGAGACTGCAACCGGCCGGCCAAGCGGCGTGAGTGTGGTGCGGTCTCGAAAGAAGGAGCGAGAAGCCCCTGAGTCAAGTGTGAAGGTGAGGGAGGCCGAAGCCGACGCAGTACCTGAGAGCGCAGCCTCACCAGTACCTGAGAGTGCAGACGCACTGGCACCTAGAGCAGCAGCCGCAGAAGTACCTGGCGCAGCAGTACTAATGCCCGGGTCGGG